GTTACAGTGGTGGAGGTCTAGGTTGGATATTAGGAAAAACTATTTCACTAGGAAGGTGGAGAAGCACTGGAATGGGTTACCTAGGGAGGTGGTGGAATCTCCATCCCTAGAAGTTTTTAAGTCTTGGCTTGACAAAGCCCTGGCTGGGATGATTTAATTGGGATTCATCCCAATGGCAGGGGGCTGGACTCGAACTCCTGAGGTCTCTTCCAGCCCTATGGTTTGATGATTCTAATTTTCTTTTAACTGAGGATTTTTCAGGGCAGAAGAGGGAGCCAAGTAGAAGGATTGCAAATGAAAGTCAGCCATTGTCCATGCAAAAGGGTTAAGCCGATACAAAGCTGCTTATGTCAACCTATTTAAGGGTCTATGCTAAAATTTCACTTCTACTGATGTAACTTGTCCACTACACTAACTTAATAACTCTACCACCATGAGACACGTAAAGTCGATGCCAATGTAGTTAGGTCAACACAGTGTCAGTGTACTCACTGTTGCTTACATTAACTGTTGCTGGCTTTCAGAAGCTGTCCAACAATGCCCCACACTGACTGTTTAAACAGTGCAAGTGCTCCTGGTAAGGGTATGCATTGACGATACAAGGAGCAAAGCACATAGACACAAACAGGCAATGTGATTACTGCTGCAATACTAGACACAGATTTGATCAGCTTGATTTTGTAGTGAAGACATGCCCTCAGTGTTGACAAATGCTACACATTGTACATTGGAGGGAATAATGTAAACTACTCAGACGTTTTAGAGATTCTAAATTAACTTTGTATCTAGTCAGAAAAAAACAGGAATCACTGTGCACTGCTCAGTGAAGACTTATGCTCAATGAGCAGAATTAGAAAAAACATACCACAAAATACCACACATAAGGAATAGGATAGAGAATAATTCTGAAACTATAATGCTATTGTATAAATTACCTCATCTGGAAAACTGTTCATTTGCCTCAAAAGGACAGAGGAGAATGTGAGATAGTCAATATGAAGGTTTGGGTGGGGAATTCTTGCATATATAGCGAGACTGAAGAAACTGAAACTGTTTACATTAGACAGGAGACCAAATAATGAAGAGCAGAGAGAAGACGACTGGGGAATCTTATTCAAATTTTTAATAACTTAAGAACAAGGGAAATATTCAGTGTAATTGAATGGAAAGAAATTTAACACACACAAAAGGAAATCCTTTTTTCACAAAAGACATAATTACCCAATTACTCATTGTGACAAAATTTCACAGCAAGCAAAAATAATAGCAGTATTCAAAATGGGATTAGATATTTATGAGGATAACAATAATATTCAGTTGGAATAAATACTAAAATAACAAACAGGAGTTTTGGAAGGGACCCTCAATTAGTCCTAACACTTCAGAATTTAAGCCAATCTTTAACTATTGGGGACCATCAGAATAAGTTCTCAAAACTGCCTGCCTCAAGGGTTTCTTAGAGCCCCGTTACTACAGAGGAAGCTATATTAGAGATAGGATTTCAATTTAGATAGACCACTGTCATGCAGCAAGATACCTATATGGACTATATGAAGTGCTGTACTGGATCAGATCAATGGTCTATCTGAATGGAATTAAAACAGAGAAGAAATACTAGCATATGGACCAACAACTTAGGACCTATTCCATTATATAATTAATAGAGAGAAGAAAATAACTCCCTATGGGTATGTCTACACTTCATTCCTCTCTCTCAAGAGGAATGCAAATGCAGACACCTGAAATTGCAAATGAAGCGGGGATTTAAATATCCCACGCTTCATTTGCATAATCATGTTATGGTGCAATTTTGAAAATGAGGAGTAAGGGTTATTTCGAGGGAAGGGTTTATCTCAAAATAGCACCATTTCGAAATAACGCCATAATGTGTTTATGCAAATGGAGCATGGGATATTTAAATCCCCACTTCATTTGCAATTTCAGGTGTCTGCATTTGCATTCCTCTTGAGAGAGAGGAATGAAGTATTTGAAGCCTCAAACAACAAGACTCTTGCTTTGAAGTTGATGGTTCAAATCCAGTTCAGCACAAAATATTATAGTCAAATAGCTCAACAGTGAGCTACATTAAATGAGCTAGAATGACAAGGAATCCTGTGGCACCCTATCGACTAACAGATTTATTGGAGCATAAGCTTTTGTGGGCAAAGACCCACTTCATCAGATGCATGTAGTGGAAATTCCAAAGGCAGGTATAAATATACAGGCATAAGAAAATAGTACCAATCAAGAGTAAGGCTAGAGATAACAAGGTCAATTCAGTCAGGGAGGATGAGGCCCACTTCTAGCAGCTGATGTGGAGGTGTGAACACCAAGAGAGGGGAAACTGCTTTTGTAGTTGGCTAGCCATTCACAGTCTTTGTTTAATCCTAAACTGATGGTGTCAAATGAGCTGGTGATTTTAGCTAAATGCCTAAAAAACAGCTATTCACAGTGCAATTTCTAACAACTAGTTCTCTTGCCTGCAGTTTTGGCATGAAGGCTAAGTACTGAATGGATGTGGGAGTTATATTCCCATGCTGTGCAGTATCTGTTTTGAGCATAACAAAAGACCAGTTTCCAGTGCTGATGGTGAAATACCTTTAATAAGCACAAAATTGTTAACTTCGTCAGACTTTGAATTTGGCCCAGACTGTCAAATTTAACTTGGAATTTTCTAAATTTTGTTGTTCTGTGTCTCATATTTTATAAATCCAGCATTTCATTTTACTCCTTGCATCTGTTTATTCCTCATTTTATTTATTTTTTAAAAAGAGAGAGAGAGACAGCACACACTTTCACTTGGTTAGGACTTGAACAAGTATCAGCTCAACAGGATGAATTTTCCTTTATACTGTAATAACTCTATATTGTTGCCTAGAGGGTGACAGAAAGTAATGTAAGATTCATAAAAATATAACTGTCTGAACCAAGCAGAAAGAATTACGGTAAGCATTAACAAAACTGTATTTCCCTATACTGCAGGGTAAAATCAGAATTTCTTAATGTTTTCTTTCCTGGGTCATATAATTCTGCAAAAGCACACCAAGAGAGAAAAGGGCTGCTCCTGTTTGCTAGATATTTATTGTCTCAAGCTTTTGAGCCGGTTTGTATTGTAATTACTTTATTCCATTATCTCTCTATTTGCATTTTACCCATACATCATCACTTAAATACCATTTGGTTTAAGACTTTTTAAAGCCATAAGCAACCTGAACATGTATATTTAATTAAGCTATAATTGAGGCTAGGTTTACACTACATTTTTTTTCGGAAAAAGGTACGCAAAATGCGCTCCACATTTTGCGTAACTTTTTCTGATCTTTTTTTCAGAAAATCCCCCTCTTTCAGAAGATCCCTTCTTTCTCATAGAACAAGGAAGACACGGCTTCTGAAAGAGTGCATTTGCTCTTTTTTTTTGCAGAAGAGCAAATGTGTTCCCTGGATGCGGCTGAGTTTTTTCGAGATACCTCTAGTATCCCGGAAACCCACCAGAGTCTAGACGTACCCTTAGAGTATTCTAGTAATCTCTCTCTAGTTCATTCATTAAATCAGCACATCCTTAGAAAAATAGAGACACATTCCTATCATCACACAATAATTTCCATTCTTTACTTGAAAAGTCCTTGTTTCTTTAAAAGCATCTGTGGATAAATTTTAGCCATATTGGAGATGGCATAATAACTTTTGTACAGCATTTTAATCTGATACTAGAATGCTTTTCTTTTTAAGCCTGATAAGGGAGAATTTAGAAGTACTAATTTGTTTCAGAGAAGAGAGGGATATAGTTCAAAGTTCTCACTCTCTTAACGAGCAAGCACCATCTCTTGTTGGTACAGTTCAACAGCAGTACAGCTGATTATCTTTGTGGTCTCCAGTGACTGTCTGTCAACACAGGAATACCCATTACAAGAATAAGCTAGGAGGAAGGCTACAGGACTACGAACAATATGACTATATCACCTGATCTGATGAAGCCTCACACTCCACAACACTGTGTCCCGAATATATACGATACAATTTTGATCAGAGATACAGAAAAGCCATATATTTTGTGTAGCAGCTGCATTTAATTGCATTAGTATTGCTTCTGAATTGCATCCTAGAGAAGAGCATATGCAGCAGTTGTTTCCAGTAAAAAAGAAGTTAAGTAATAGGGTATATGTCATAGGCAAAGTTAGAAGAATGGTTTTTGTTAACAATTATCAAGGTAGAAAACCTTGTATAGGAAAGACTGTGGAGGAATAAAGGAAAAGATAGTTAATTATAATATTTTGGTTGAACAGCATTTTAGTAGTAAGTTTTAAATAAGATATCTAAAACTATGGACATTATATACACTTATACTAAACAGGCCGTATGAATTTGAAAGCCACTTTTTTGGGGGGGAGGGGGAGTTACAGACTTGAGAATTCTAATATTTTCTTATTTCTGGTTGTATGATAATAATTTAATATTTCTATATTTACTTTATTTCTTAAAAAGCCAAAAGGTGGCAATATGTTGACAGATGGAAAAGGTAGGTACTATTAATGAAAGTTAATTTGAGACTAAGATTAAAATAGTGTTCCTGCATATAAATTTGTTTCAATGAGCCGTACTCACTGTAATGTTAAGTGACTGCACAAATTAGGAAATGTAACAGACATATTGGTTTAGGACTAGCTAATCCCATAGTTTTATGCATCTCTAGACAACTTGGATTCAATTTATCTTATGCTTCCTATACAATGATTTTGGTGTTTCTCTTCTTAATTGATGGACTATGCCAATTGTCATAAAATGACCAAAGTCTGGCAAAAGCTGCATTTTCTGCAAAGAGGACCTGATCAAAAGCTGCTAACAACAATGGAAATATTCCCACCAGTGTAAAATGATGCATGAGAGCTCAGAGTCAGGACCTCATATGCTGTGGGGATGTTATCTAAATATATTAAGTAGATCCAGAGAGTAGAGAAAGGAAGTATTCTTGCCATATTTTCTCAATCTTTCCCTTAACCTACCAGCATTTCCTTTATCTTCTCTGGATTGTTGCAGCTCTCTCTCATCCCAGGTCCCTGTTTCACCAAGGCAATGAGAAACTGAGGCAGCAAGCAGTCCAGGCTGTTCTTAAAGTGCTCTGAAAAGGGTGAAAGAGCCTATGACTATCTGAAAGCATTAGCTTTGGTAAGACAGCGCATCACGTATGCCCCTTATTGGACATGCTCAATTTTTATTTTTTTCCCTATTGCTTATTCCCACCCAGCTTTAAGAACTGAGTCTAGATTTGATGACAGAGAAAGCTAGAACTGCATTATCATTCTATTGTGCATACTGATGGCATCAAAGCCTATTTTCTCCACTAGATTTATGAGGTGAATTGAAAAGGAGAGAGGAAAAAAGAAAACACTGTGGAGCTCTTGTGCACAATTCCCTTGGCAGACATCCAAAATGATCCTCTGGAATCCCTTGGAAAGAAGGGGGCAGAACTCCTCCATATGCTACTTATCCAAGCCAAGATTAACAAAATCTCATAATAGCTGATCACTCAAAGGCTGCTGACATAACTAAAAGAATCAGCAGGCACTCTTGACCTTTATCCACTGCTAAAAGTAAGTAATCAGCCAAATAATTCTGTACTGGGTCCATTCTGTAGCCAGGGGAAAGCCAAACTGACAGGGATCAAGGAAATTGATGGTCTGTAGATGACACCATGATCTTCCACCAAAAGGGAAAACTAGGATTGAGCCACCTGTTTTTAGTGGAGTCTCATATGTTTCACTACCCTGGCACTCTGTATGTGCAGAGGTAGAACAGGATATGCCCTGAATGCATGTCTATTTGGATACGTCTAAACTACGGGGGGATTTCAAAAGAGGATACGCAAATTCTGCGGGAATTTTCATATCTTCTGAACATTCTTTTGAAAGTGGGTCTTTCGAAAGTGAAAGTAGTCTGGACGCAGTTTTTTTCAGAACCTCCCTTCCCTTTTTCAAAAAACCGAGTAAACCTCCTTTTTTAAGGAAGAGCGCTTTTTCAAAAAAGGGTGGTTTTTTTGTAAACTGTGTCCAGACTACTTTCACTTTTGAAAGACCCACTTTCAAAAGAGCGATCAGAAGATACGCAACTTCCCGCAGAATTTGCATATCCTCTTTTGAAAAAAACCCATAGTTTAGACATACCCTTTACGTCTTCTCCTAAGTATTTTACTGTTCTTTAGTTATGTCTAATTTAGTATCCTTAGAGGATGCCACGTATCATGTGCAAATACCTTGTAAATTATTATATTGACACAGATGCTTGATTACACCGTGACCTACAACAAGAGGGGTATTTTTATTTGAGAAGTATTTTATTATTTTATCTATTTTTTAAAAAAGTGATATTTTGGCTTATGATTTTGTCATCTATGGTACAAAAAGAAGGGGCTATTTCAGGATTAATGCATACATTAGAGCTTCCCCATAATAAGATTCTAAACTCCTTTCTGGAATACTGCAGTCTTATACATTCATCAAGTTGCAACATAGAAGATTTCCATGGTATCACTTTCTAAGTAAATAATGACAGTGATGATGATGGAGTAGTAAGAGTAAATTTTCAGTTCACTAGGGTTAATAGCACGGCACTGTATTTTCTAAACAAAGGGTACTGGACATTTTCTAGAGTACACACACTTAATAAAGAACCACAATATTAGAGAGAGAAGGAAAGCAGACAAAATCCCATCTGGAAGTTCCATATGATGCAACATTTATAGATGTTTCCACTACATTATTTTGTTGAATGCCTCCATAGTGTATTTAAAACAAAAAGTCAATCCTACTCTACGATTTAAGATGATCTCGTCCTACTTACTGCTATAGAAGTCAGACTAATGATGTTCATGTTTTTTTAAACAAACTAAGCTAAGGGTTGTTTTCAACAAGATAAATTTTTGGCTCTTAAAACACTTGAGTACTTGTGGTTTTCATTTCACTGTAGTTAGTAGAAGTTAAAATGTGTCCATCCTTGGAGAGGCTGGCATCTGAGAGTTTAGAGCTAAAGAAATCATGCACAATGAACCACATGTTGCAATGGAGGTTAATATTTGGAGTAAATACCTGTTTTCTTATTAATGCCATGGAAGTGGATTATGCTGTTTCAGAGCAATCGCCTATATTAGCTAAAAGTGGGGAGGAATTTGAGAAGAGAAACCAAGTTAGAAACACACGTGAGATTTCGTATCTAGTAACAAAGGCATATTGATCCCCCAAGTAATAAAAAATAATCCCTATGAAATGAGCCAAAGACAAACCAAGAAACCAACCATAAAATCAAATCATGGTGGCAAAACTCTCACTGGCTTATCTCCAGGATTTCTCTCAGAATGCATCTCCCTATTTGTGCAGAGCTGTCACTGAAGTGAAGTGGCAGAAGGGAGAGTTGGAAAAGGAATTCCTTCCTAACTCCTCCAGCATTAGATAATTAATATAGAACCAGTAACAGTTTCAATTTCTTTGTGCAAAAAAACCCTGTCTTTTTCCGGTAGCTATTTATCGCTCCCTATTTTACTGGTCAGTCTTTAGAATTATGCTTCAAAGTATTTTGCTGGTTCTCTGACTGCCATCCCATTTAACACATTCTGTGGTTTGCTCGCTGATGATAGCTTAAGCAGAATTTAATTGCTAACATATTGTCAGTTGAATTAAGAGCCATATGATATCAATTTAAACCTTGCTAATTTTTGCATAAAGATCAATCTGTCATCAGATTGCAGTAGAAAAAACAATCATAAATCAAATTGTCAGGTTTATTAGTAATTGCAGAAGTTTTGTTGTTTTGAATTCACTATATTCTCTCTTTAGTACCTATTGAAAGGGTTATTTGTTTGGGTTTTTTTTGCTAGATGTTGGTTTTATGTGTGTGAGATTTTCTCTTACATATTCACAGACATACATCACTGCCCACAGTACTTATGTATGCACACATTATAGGAATGCAAACCTATTACACATATTCTAAAATTACTTGTGCAACTTCACTGACTAGACTATTGTATTTGTCATTACATTTTTCCTGAGATAGCCAAAACTATTTTTTCACTTTAAAATGCCACCAATGCAAAACTGCAACATTTGTACATCTTTCTCTTTCAATTTTTTGAAAATCTGTAGTTGAACATTTTCTGAACTAATTACCAGAATGCTTCTATTTTTACATATTGCTTTGCAAAGAGTTAACCGATTTTTATGCACTAAAACAAGCAACATTAATCTTATACATAAGGGGCCACGTAGCATAGGATGCCAAAAACAGGGAAGCTACTCTTTGCCCAATCTTGGATCTTTCTAAATTCTGCAGAGGGGCCTCTCCATGGGAGAGGCCCCTCTGCAGATGAGTGTTAGGAATGGGGTCTATCAATCAGATGGCATGATCTGTATATTTGTATTTGCACATACCGTAACCCAGAAATGAACTTTACAAAACATACACACACACAGATTATTTCTGCTCCTGGCAGCAATAATCTGCACTAGAAGGCTGAGCATGGGTTGCTGATGGGCAAACTACAGACACTCATTAATGCTCCCTTTATAACACATATATGTGCCATTTTGAGGACAATTGAATGTTACAGCAGAATTGCCCACACTTTTAATGACACAGGATTTTATTTGCAGTTTGCATAGGACTACAAAATGAAAGAGGTAATCTAAGGAAGATGTTTAGCAGATTCTCATTTTCTGTTTGTGTATAATGCAGTTCATTTTTTGGCAATGGTCAAGGATTTACAAATTGAAAATCAAGAAAGAGGCTGAAGAAATGTTATTCAGTGGATGTTATTATGGAAGAAATGAGAAGAGAGAAAGCGAGAAAGAAAGAAACTCCCATGAATATTGTGTATAAAATGATATATTATAAATTGCTGTTACCCTTGGGTGATAGTAACAGAGGAGTCATGATAATAATTGGAGGAAGATTTGAGCACTATTCATGAACATGACATAATATACTGTATTTGTTAATGTTCATATACAGTAACAAATATAGTACACACAGACATGCACGTAATTAAAGAGAGGCTTGCTGGTATGCTAGTACTATTTTCCAAAAAATAAGCTAGATACAAGTGGATTTGCATACAAATGAGAAACTGACAGAATAGTAATGGGACTTTGATAAGACCACATACCTATGTGGTTAAGTCTCTTCAATAGAAAGAAACATTGCATTATCATTAAATGAGTTTAAAAGTTGATCACTACCAAAAAAAATTAAATAAAATACTTAAAACTTCTTGGTTAATATTAAAATATTAAGCATTTCAAAATAGAAAAGACTGCTTTGTTCATCTTTTAAACATATTTTGATGTATTTTAAATTTAAAATGACACTTGTAATTAATCCAGAAATGTATTTACTGTTGTATACTGTCATCAGTTCACACCTGAGAGTATGCTTGAATTATATGTAGTATTATTTATGACCTTAAAGAATAAGGCTGTAGAAAATAAAACATTTAAATATGTTAAAGTTCATACTTAACTCCCAACAAAATGGAAGTTAAATTGACTGTCAGTGTCACAGTATCACCAGTTTAAAATCTGGAAAGCCAATCAATTAAGTGCTTTGAATAGAACTTTCTTATTTATTGTTATTTGTGTGATGGCCTGTTCAGTGCCTGGTGAGAGCAGAGAGGCAGGGGGAAGAGTCTTGGTGAGAGAAGGTTCCCTCTACCTGCCCACACTGAAAGTCAAGGAAGGGGTAGATGTGTGCATTGTGGGCTTTTTTTCGTTATTTGTTATACCACAGGTGGGGTGGTTAAAAGGGAGGGTTCAGATGGCATAGTAGGAGCTGTGATGGCAGGGCAAGATATGGTGGTGGGATCAGGATGGGCCAACTGAGGGGAATGAGGTTTAGACGGTTATGGGCTATTCCTCATTCTGGTCCTACTCCCAGCCTCAATGACCATGGGAAACTTAAAAGCTGGCCGTCAGGCCTGACGGTGCTGTTGTTGAATGTCAGGTTAGTATCCCACAAGACAGCGATGAGCCAGGATTTAATCCTGGATGAAGTGGCCAACTGCCCTATATCACTGAGACCTGGCTGGGAGTGGAGGGAGGCATTGACCCCTCCCAACTGTGCCTGGCTGGGTTCTCAGTCCAGCACCAGCCTCAGCTTGAGAGCCAGGGAGAGAGATTGGTGATTGTCTATCAG